CCTGTGCTCAGCTCTGGGGAGGCCAAACCTGGAGYRSTGGGGRCAGCTCTGGGCTCCCCAGGACARGAGGGACGTGGAGCTTCTAGAGAGGGTCCAGYRGAGAGCGACAAAGATGATTAAGGGACTGGAGCATCTCTYRTRTGAGGAGAGRCTGAGTGAGCTGGGCCTGTTCAGCTTGGAGAAGAGAAGGCTGAGAGGGGATCTGATTAACATGTGTAAGTTCAGGAAGGGAGAATGCAGGGAGGAAGAGGACAAGCTATTTTCGTTGGTGGCCAGCGATAGGACAAGAGGAAATGGGCATAAGCTGGAGCACAGGCAGTTCCATCTCCATGTGAGGAAGAACTTCTTTGCTGTGAGGGTGCCAGAGCCCTGGCACAGGCTGCCCAGGGAGGCTGTGGAGTCTCCTTCTYTGGAGGTCTTCCAAACCCGCCTGGATGCCGCCCTGTGCCCCGTGCTCTGGGTGTCCCTGCTGGAGCAGGGGGTTGGACTAGGTGATCTCTAGAGGTCCCTTCCAACCTTGAACGAGAGAGAATCTTTCTTAAGAACCTCAGCTTTGTTGAGGGGAAGGAGCTTGGAAATAGTAGATACTTCTGCAGTCCTTTAACAATCTGACAACTGATTTAAAGTACCTGGAGATACAAAACTGAAGATGCAGTCAAGTAACATAAATTAAGGAAAATATTTGGCAATTATAAATATTGTGCTGAAAATGGTTTTTACCATGGCATTGTGACTAGTGGAGTAAAAGACTTTGCAGCAGATATGAAAAGCAGAATACACTTTTTAATGTGTGTAACATCTTCATATTTTTACAAGGATACTGGGGTCCCACAAGCCTTCTTAAGAGAATTCCATCTGCACAGAAGTTTTGTGTGTGCAGCTTTTCTTCCTCGGCAGTATGAAACAATGGGAGGAGGATGAGGAGATTAGTGTCTTTTTCCRGGTGTTGTTTTTACCTGATTGACAAGATACATATATAATTTTCTTCTTTTTTCCCCCTTGAAACTATTTAAAGTGAATCTACTTGTCACACAGAAATGAAAGCAATCAGGTTTCCCAAACTGGGGAATTCAATTTGAAAAAGAACTGTCTAAAACAGTACAAGGAGGTTTCAGTCTAATAGTCTAATAAGGCATTGCACATATAGTTGAAGTCTTGCCACTGGACATCAGAGGGTTTACCCATTTTTTGAAGAGGTAAAAAAGGATTGAAAGATGCATCTCAGAGACACATATTTGCTAAAAGAATATATTTTGTTTTTCTGAAGGGTAAGATGTAAGCATATGCCTTTTAGAAATAAGTGTTTGTGTACAAGTCCAGTGAAATGCTGGTGTGGAGCTGGCGGGCAAAGTGAAATTCCTGCGTGTTCTATGAAATTTCATTGGCAGCCCTGGCAAGGAGACCTGTGCTGGTGGTCTGACATCTCTGCAAAATTAGGGGCAACAGATGACTTGCAAATTAAAAGATTAACTGGAATGTTGCTTATGGCATGCAGCTTGTTTTAAGAAGGTAACTGTATATAAGCCTATTTAGAGTGTGGTCTTTTATCCCAGAAAGTCAATAGCGGGGCCATAGAAATACAGTACACTGTGTTCCATGTTTTAAACACATATTTGGAATTAACAAATTGTTAACATTCRGAATTAACAAATTGTTAACATTCTGCCTGCATGTGTGATAAAGTAAAGGATTATAGATCCAGATTTGGGAATGCGGCTAACTAAAAATCTGAGACTGAACACTTATATTTTCACCTTTTCTTGTTGCATTTGGTGTCATAGCTGTCACGCACTGGGCTTGAATGCTGAAAGCTTTCCCTTTCATTGGGTTAAAAGGGTTTTATTTGAAGATTTTTGTTGGTTTAGTATAAATCAGTGGAGAAAATATCCTCAAGCTGTGTGTGGGTTTTTTTGTTTTCCCATTGCYTTAAAAATATTAGAGATACATTTTCTTTACCACCATGAAGGTAGTTTAACCTTCAGCAACGAGCTAGTTGCACTAGTAATCAACCTCTGATTTGTCTGATTTGGAGACAGGCTCATCCATCAAATTCTGCGTGCAAAGCTAGGAGTGCTTGAAAAGCACTTTCCAGTATTTGATTACCGGAGCCCAGCTGCTGCTCTGGGTAGTTAATGTGACAGTATTACATCTTTCAGACGGGAGCTATGTCTTTATTTCCAGGGTCAGATGACCTTTCTTGCTTATATTCTCTTCGGCCAATGGCATTTTACATAGGACATTGATTTTTGTTTGCTTGCTTTAGATGAGGTGCTGTTGGAAGGCCTGATGAAAATAACTGGGAAGACCTTGTATCTCTTTGAGGGGAATGCTGCTGAGAGAAGAAAGGTTTTGTTTTTTAATTGTCTTCTGGCTACTGCCTTCTGGCCAAAAGAAAAGTGCTTTGAACCCTCCCACACCTGTCCATTAGGCATTACTTTATAATAATGCCTAATGGACTGATTTTAAACAGTTATGTATTTAGTTCAGAAGCTTGACTTTTGACAGAAAGTTATTGGGGATGAGGTAGCCRAAGGACCTTTCTTCAGATTCACAGTTTTATAAGCAGATTATCTTCATTATTGACATTTAAAATTTGAAAGAACTTTTTCCATATATGTTTGTTGCAAATTAAAAAAAAAATAGATTGAAATTATTGGAAAGTGAGCAAACAAAAGATGAACTTYTTCAGTAAAAGCCTTTAAAGCATTTTTCTTCTTTTCTCCTCACCTAGTGGGAGGGGGAACACGAACATTTTCARATACCATTATTTGAAGTTATTCTTCAGATGAGGACAGTATCACAAGTAAAACAGTTTTTACTGTGAAAGTTTTCATTTTGCAAAATGTTAAAGGCTTTCAAGTGGTCTGTATCTCTTTATTTTTTTCTCATAGCTGTACTTGTCAATCACACTCCGTCTCTTACATGCCAGCTAGTGTGTTGCAGTTGATCTTGTGTTACGAATTCCAGAATCGGATCATGTATTTTCAGATGTTGTTTTATCTTTGATTGTAGTAAATACTGTAGCATTTGCTAATTTTTTTTGAGTTGAGGTACAGAAAGYGTTGAGTTGAGGTACAGAAATGCAGTTGAATTTTGCCTTTCTTGCCAAAAATGTTTGCCATCATCCTACAGTTGTGTGGAGCTTTGTTTCTTTCTACCTTTCTCTATGAGTGACCAGTGACACCTAGGTAAGAGTCAAGGGCTACAGTGAGTGTGACAATTGAAATGCAAAATTTTTCAACAATGGTCAGTTTTGGTCTAATTCTGTGTCTATTCAAAGCAATGGAAATTTTGCAATTGGCTTTAGTTGAATCAAGGAATCTTACTTTGAATTGATTTTTCTATTTTAATCTGTTCTTAAGATTGAAAGCTCTCCGATGCTGCTGTTCTTTTTTTTTCCTTATATTATATGGTTGTCATCTGACTTGAGAGTTGGAATCTTTGGAGTGTTGGAATGTTTAGAGTGTCCAAAAAAACTCAGGAAAGAATGGATGGAATTTGTATTTTTATGTGTATGCTATAAGCACCGAACCAAATTCCATCAATTTTTTCCTGATTTTTCTGAAATCTGTGTTGGAAGAGGCATTACCTTGTTACTGAAGAATTCTCATAGAAGGAAATATGAATTTTCTTATAATTTCTTTGAAATTAGAATTTAAAGTAGCTTTTTCTGTTCACCTTTACAATCKAAGTTTCTGTATGGTATCTTTCCCTGTTTAGTTGATGGGGTTTATGTGATTTACTTCAATTATTTGGTTACAACTACTATACCTTGATGAGTTATAACTTTTCTAYTCCTGTGAATGCGGAAAGAGCACATCTTAGAGGTTAAACACAGCAAACTACATTTACACGACCTAAGTGTATATCATTTCTGGCAGTGAAATGATCCATCTGGAATAGGGGGCAAAATTTATAATCTATTTTAAAAGCCCAAAACATTATTTTTTGCACAGGTAAGAAAAGCATTTGTTGAGCTGGAAGCCGCCCACTAGGACATAGCACACATACTGCCTACCTGCACATGCCAGCTTGTCAAAAGCTGTGGTGGAGGTCACCTGAAATTACTTTGTTTCCACAAGAAAATATTCCCAGTGCCATTCTGCACAGAGCAAATTTAGTTAGCAAGGTATTATCTAAATCTCCCTGCGTGCGTTCACTAAATCTATTTCAAGTCCTATTTACATGTTAATTTTTCTTGATTGATATTTAGTATATAGGGTCTCATAGTTCCTTCAGGTTATAAATCTTTCAGCGGGTACCTTTTCTCTTAATATTTAATTATAACCACAGACTAAAGCAGTATTTTATTCATGGGTATGTGGTTTGACTTGGAACACATAAGATGCCCTTGTCTTTATGAAACTGTGTTTTTAAAATATGGRATAAAGTTCAAAATGGCTGAAATAGGTAAAAATGAAACCTTCTGTGTTAGATGTGCTTAGTTGCTCTGAGAAACTTGTAGAGGCTAACCTAGATTCTTGTGTTGTTTTTTCCTGTTTCCGTGGCCTGCACAATTATAATCTTTGGCTACATATTACTTATCTGCTCTGTAGTAACTTTGTGATCTTTGGAGATTTTTACTCAGTAAGGCCAGCAGGTCTGGCCCTTCTCAAAGGGCAGGGTCACACTTGTGGGTATTGGTGTTGCCTATTCCATGTTCTAGGGAAGGCGTTTGGTGCAGGAGTGTGTATCAGAGGCATCACCTTCGATGTCTCCCAATAAGGATATTGGATCTCGCTGTCAGGTGCTTCCCCAGGAGCTGTTCTGAGATGGTTCTGCCACCAAGAATTTATCCATAAAATTGTGACCGGGATAGTGGGTGGTTGGTGTTAGTGGGGGTTATTAGCATGGAAGGTTGTGTTGCTCTGTGGGCTGTCCTCTGATTTTACAGCTCGTGAAGCTCTAAGTTTATTTTCTGGGGTAGCAAGAATGCCTGTTGTATCTTCTGTTCATGGACTTTAAGAGTGACTTCAGTGTTTTTTTTTCTCTCATTCCAGCTGTGATAGACAAAATGTCCATAGCATAATTGGCCAGCCCACCAGTCCTTGCCATGAACCATTTGGTTGGCCCGTCGGAGGGGGAGGTAAGTGAAGAGGCATCCAACGGAGCTGTGAACGAGTCTGTGGAGGCCGATCTGGCGCACTCGGGGCTGGAGGAGGAGCAGCGCTATGCGCCTCGCCGCCCGGGGCGCACGGAGAGCAGCCGCGTGGGCCCGGCCGCCCAGGAGGAGGAGGGCATGCTAGGGATGCTGGCGAGGTCGGCCAGCACGGAGAGCGGGTTCCACAACCACACGGATACTGCTGAAGGAGACGTCATTGCCACAGTGGAGGACAGCTACGACACAGACAGGGTTCAGGAGAATGAGGATGAGAGCGCGTATGCGGTGCAGTATAGGCCGGAGTCTGAGGAGTACACGGAGAATGCCGAGGCCGAGCACGGCGAGGCCGTGCACAACCGAGCGCTGCCCAACCACCTGCACTTCCACTCCATAGAGCACGAGGAAGCCATGAACGCGGCCTACTCRGGGTACGTGTACACGCATCGGCTCTTCCACCGGGGGGAAGATGAGCAGTACGCCGAGCCTTACGCCGACTACGGGCTGCAGGAGCACGTGTATGAGGAGATAGGGGACGCGCCAGAGCTGGATGCGAGGGATGGGCTCAGGCTCTATGAGCGGGAAAGGGAGGAGGTGGACAATTACCGCAAGGAAGCGCTTGGTGCCCGCCTTCACCATTACGACGAGCGGTCGGACGGAGAGTCTGACAGCCCCGAGAAGGAGGCTGAGTTTGCGCCCTACCCCAGGATGGATAGYTACGAGCAAGAGGAGGACATTGATCAGATTGTGGCGGAGGTGAAGCAGAGCATGAGCTCCCAGAGCCTGGACAAGGCAGCTGAAGACATGCCGGAGGCAGAGCAGAGTTTGGAGCACGCTCTTACTCCTGGGCAGGAAAGCAATGGCCAGCTCCCTGCTGGCCCCCGAGTCACATCCAACTCAGGAGAACCCGTGCAGAGGTACAGCAAGGAAAAGCGAGATGCCATTTCACTGGCCATCAAGGACATCAAAGAGGCTATCGAGGAAGTGAAGACCAGGACCATCCGATCTCCATACACCCCGGATGAACCCAAGGAGCCTATCTGGGTGATGAGGCAGGACATCAGCCCCACGAGGGACAGTGACGACCAGAGGCCGCTAGATGGAGATGTGAGTACACCGCGCTCTCTGCTCCTGTCCATGTCTGTCTGTAGCTTTGGTTGTCACCTACGAGGTCGTGCAGGAATGGGGGTTGTTCGTTTAATGAACAAATGTGATTCTGGACACGGTAGTGTTTTTAAATTCATGCTAAAGAAGACAGGTAAGAACTAAACATTAAGCACTGTCTGTTAAACAGATTTTCCTTCATGAGACTCTGATGRCCTCAGCTGACCTCAATTAATTTGTATAACAATCTGATTTGCAAAAGTCTTGGCTTTTTATTTTCTGGAACAGATGCTGTTACAGTATTTTCTAACAACCACTGTGTAGTTAGAATAGCTAAGAAACAACTTGTCACCGCTAGTCTAGCATTGAGTGTGCCTGTTAATTTTAAGTTTTGTTTTCTGTCGGGTAAGTTTCTGCTAGAAATCTGTCAGTATTATTTATGATTTCTATAAAGATGGTATAACAGATTCAGATTCTAGGGAAAAGATTAATGTATTTTTTATTTCCAGGCTGTAAAGGTGTTCTTTCCTGTGACCCAAGCAYTGAAGGTCACTGTCTAGAGATTTAGAGTATTAGCATTTCTTAAATACTCTTGGCACAAGGCTTAACTGGATCAGAATCAGTTCAGTTTTTCATTCTGTTGCTGAGAAGTCAGAATTAAGAACTTTTTAACACCAGTGTAGCATTAAGTAGCAGGTGTTATTTATTTGCAGTGCTAGGTGCGTGGGGGATCTTTCCTGCCAGCATGCACACCGTAGGCTACGTTAACCAATGCTTGTATTTCTCATGTGCATATGCATTAAATTTCCTGGAATGATCACACATAATCATTCTGTCTCCTGGAACTAATTGCCACACGCCTCCCTTGTGTGYGGGCACCTCCCATCCCTTTGGGGGTCTCTGGTGAACTTTCAAGATCTACGATGCTCACTCTTTCCATGAACTCTGGTCCTGTTGCCCACCTTCAGCCAGTTTCTTGCAGATTCCGTGGTTCTTATCTTCCTCTTCAGCCGGTGTTTGCTGTTTTGTCCGTACTTTCTCACGATGTACCAGCAACAGCAGCGGAAGTTGTGTCCCTGGATGCATTCTTCTCTGGGGCTTCCCATAACAATTCCAGCTGCTGTTGTTGGCCTGTCATAGCCATCTCTATGTGAAATTTTGTGGCTTTTCTTTATTCCTAATACAATAAACTCATAAATAATTTTAATTAAGAAATTTTTAAATTTCTTAATGTGAAAGGTCTGGTAAGCCAAAGTTAGTGGACCAAATCTGCTATAGTGGAAATAATAGTGGAAAAAAATAGTGGAAAATCTGCTAATAGATGAGTTAGTGGACCAAAGTCATCTATTAGCAGATCCATCCTGTTGCTTCAAGGAGAACTGTGCTGTAAACATCTGTTCCCTCATCTTTATTGCTGTACAAGTTGTTTTTCTTCAGAAAAACACTAAATGATAGAAGTTTGATTAATCTTGGCTTTTTAAGCTGTGTTATTTTAACCTTCCAGCCACCCCTCAGAACTATTYAAGATAACCTCAATGTCAGCAAAGCAAATTAAGATAACAACGAAAGATCCCATGCAGTATAGAAATATGAATTTTTGTTCTTCAAGTATATTAAAAAATAAGTAGTATTTTACAAGTATGAAGAGACTGTGGAGCATGTAGTATGAATTGCTTAAGAAAAAAAATAGCAAACTAGCCTAGACTGGAGGCTTACAGATTTTTTTCCTTGAAAATTGTCAGTAATGTGCATATTTATTCCCTCATGTTTTACAAATAAAATCTGTTATAGGCTTGATTGGCAGTCAAGTGCAAAGCTTAAGCAACTGGCCATTCTGTAGAAGAAAACTTGTTATTTTGAATGCAGCTTCTTTTTGGATTGAATTTCCAACAGCCTTGATTAATTCCTTCTTTTTCAAATATGAACTGTGTTACTCTGTTTCCTGTAAATTTTAGCCACTGTATTTTCTGTGCTTCTAAATGATGTCTTCAGGAGAATCATATTTCTTGCTGCTTAGAACTCTTAGTAGCAGTAATGCTACTGGGGATCTTTGAAGCTCTGAGTCATCCCTGAAAGAGCTCCAGATACTCTCCAAAACCTGCACCTTGCAGAACTGATTTTGTAAGATGTCCCAGTTTTGATTTTGCACCAAAAAGTTAATTTCTCAGTGAGTGTTTTTCATGGCCTCTCACACAGAAGCCTCACAGAGATTTTCRGTGCTGGCAGTAATTGGTGCAGTGATGTTAATGACAGTAAGCATAGTTTAGTGCAAAGATGCTTTAGTGCGAAGGTGGTTGTAGACATACAGACCATCTGCATTCTCGAATGGAGGAAAAAAAAGTTAAGCAAGTAGTATAGATTGTGTGTGGCAGATTAAAGTGTGAATGCGGTAGAAGAAATATGGTATTTGAAATTGGAAAAGTTTCTGGTGTTCACTGAAGATGAGGTTTGTATTTGCACTACTGGAATCTTTATTAAGAAATCAACTTATACAGGTCTGAACAGACTACTTTCTTTAACAAAGCATTCCTAGAATTGCTTAGCAGTAAATTGGATAAAACTGGGTTGTGTTGGCTATGAGCAAGAGGGATCAATTAGAATAAAAATACAGTTGAAGCTATTTATAAGGAAAGGGAAAAAAAAAAAAAGAAAAGTTTTTCAGTGTAAGCAGTATATACCAGAGACATAATTCAGCCTAGTTTGTAAACTTGATAATGAAATAAGAAAGATTAAGAGAGGTGTTGTTCTRACTTCAAACAGCTTTTTCCTCCTGCAGAAGCATCAAGGAGAAAGTGATGCAACTTGAGTACTTTTATTAGCTTTAGCATATTACCAGTCTGTCCTGAAAATTATTTCCATGTTGTTTTTAAACAAAACTCTTTTGCTTTAAGGAGTAGTACTTGGAAATATCAGTGATCAATTTTGTGTTGTTAATCATATAATACTGAAACTGGTAAGAGTTTTTTAGGTCTAAATAGCAGTTGCTATTTGTTTACCTAGGAATCTTCAAAAGAGAATGATTCAACCAGGGAGTCAGAAGAATGACTTGCAGTTGAGAGTCATTAAATATGACAGTATCTTTTCTGACATTTTTTCGTGAGAAAGTGACTGTCATTCCTTAGTACTGAGCATTTTCTGGTAGATTAATCTGGTGGATTAATTCTGGTATATTTAATCTACCATTTTAATCTGGTAGATTAAAACCAGGATATTTGTTGGAAGACCAGCCTGAAGGATCCAGCAGAAGCTAAACAGTTGAAATAACCACCCTGCAGAAGGGTCTATAATAATAGATTAGATATAATAATATTTGGAAAGATTATGCAACGAACATGAAAGTAAGAAAGATATAGATCAGGTGGGGAATGCCCTTTTTTTTTGAGAAGCCTCATTTCCAAGTTCATTCAGTCATTCCTATGTATTTCTCCCCAAAATCGAAGTTTTGTTTGCATATGAAAAGGATATTGCTAGCATCCCATAGATGATTCCACTGTAGTAAAATGTTGGAGTCCTCTGATGTAGAAAGTAAGTAAGGGACTTATGTGAATAAATAAATAATGCATCCAAGTACCTGCTTAATATTTAACAATGTAGAGTACGTGCTGTCATGTGCCCTTTGCAGTCTTACTGAATGATGCATATTTTCACTGGAGTGAGAAAGGCTTTGAATCTTCTGACATTTAGTTTATGGGCAGATATTTGATAAAAGCTGTCCATGACCTTATAATAAATACAGTTGATGGCATTTTTGTTTGTTTGTTTTTGATTTTTTGATTGTTTTTGTTYGTTAGAAATTTCTCAGTCAAATGATTTTTAAGGCAGTTGGCCTGTATTTCCAAAATCTGTTTATCAAAAATCCCTTCCAAACACAGTACCAGTGAGAGCCATACAGCTGCCAGCAGTGAGACAAGAGGAAACTGCCTCTTGATGGAAAAGAGGGGCTGCAGTTGGGTTAGGTATCCTGGGCATGAACCTGGGGAGATCCTGCACAATTCCTGCAGAGCAAAGCTCGACATCAGAGACCCTCGTGGAGCTTCTGGTGCCGGCACCTGCAGATACCCTGCAGGTATGAGAGGCTCCCTGAGAAGCATCTCTTCCCCGTTCACAGGCCCCTCCCGGGATGTTCCCTTTTTAAGTGGCTCTGGTCCCACTTAGACAGAACCTTCCCTGGCAGACTCTTCCTCAGAAACCAGGTATTGTRGGTGTGTGGAGCCAAGCACAGAAACACATGTGTTTAGGGGCCTAAACAGGGGACATGTGCARTGTTTTGGCAAATCACTGAAGTCTGAGTGCTTTTTGCTAGAAGGGACAAGAGTTGTTATGCGTTGGGTGTCTCAAAATTGTGGAGTATTCTAGTGTATAATCTGCATGAAAGGTCTAAACAGCATTAAAAGGTCACAGAGCTTTGTGAAGAGCCTTTTTAGGATGTGGAAATGGAGATCTACTGAGAAAAGYAGTGGAAGGCAAAGAAGCTTAAGGTTTTCTTTTTTTATTTGTTTTCTGGGGGGAAGATGGGGGAGGCTAGGGTTTAAAGAGCGTTTCCTTCCTCCCTTGACCGGAGAAGAGAGGCAAACAGCCAACTTCRCCCTTGATGAAAATAGGTCACTCAAAATAAGGTCTTGAAACTTAGTACTAGGAATGGAGACCATCATCCTCTAAACTAGATCACCCGTCAAAAAGCTCATGGATGTGAAATSCAGGTGTTGACCCTCCAGGACATATTTTATTGCTGTGTAAGACTTGTGTTTTGCAGAACCCCATCACTGGTGTCCATGGTCTTCCTTTGCAGACAAAGGAAGGGCAGAGGGAGTATTAGAATGATAACTAATATAAAGCTAAACCACATACATGGGTGGCTTGGACTTCTGAAGCAGAGGCTGATTGCTGAAGACAGGCCCTTCACGTAGAGGGGAACTGACCTGCAGAGTTTTGCTTCTCTGCCCTTTCGGGTAGAATRTATTTTATTTCAGTCTTTTAAGTTCTCAGTTGCAGAGTTTTCTCAG